ATATATATATCTATATATATATATATATATATATATATATATATTTATATATATATAACTTTTGCATTGCACACTTTTACCCGCATGTCATATCAAATGCCAGCTAATATAATCTATAGTCGAACTGTAAAGTGATACAGAAAGAAAAAGAGCAAAGAGAAAAACACTCCGCATTGATTAGGAGTGCTTCAGGAAATATATTCGGCTAACCATATATTCAGGCAATTCGCGGCTAACCATAGCAAAGTAGCAATGTTTTTTGACGACAGCAAAACAATGCTACCGAGAAATTTCTTAGCCACGAGATATAGAGATCTTCTCCAGTCCGCTACTTAAATCTCCTCTATCAGTGGTCGTCTACGTGGGAATTTAAAGTTTTTAAAATTTAAACTTTCACGTATGGCACGGACGAATGAGGTCCTCCCATTCACAACTTTTTTATATTTTTGACCCTCAAATGAATGCATTTCTGGCATTTTCTGCAGCATCTACAAGGAAAACGACAAGCATATTTTATAAGGTTACATTTTTTTTTCTTTGTAACTGCATACACATTTTGTATTTTAAGAACTGGATCAAAGGTTTAGAATTACACATTTTTGTTGAAATGCACGCTACAAAACGTCTGAATTTTACTGTTTATGTATATAGCCATGTAATGTAATATGTAAATAAGTACAAGGAAATAGAATATATCATATCGGTAATTTCTGACAATGAAAAAAAATTGTTAGACAGTCTCAGATAGTTGTTTAAATATGCAGTAATTAAAGAAGCCTGAATTTGACAAATTCTATACGGTGCAATTCGTGACAGTATAATATCGCGGTGATTTCAATGCAGGATATTCTTATACTAATATCATCATTTATATTACAATTTTGAGTGTAGGACTTATATACTATAAAGAAATTTATATTAATAGGATATGAAATTTTGCGTAGAAATACCACCAAACATCTGTATAGGCTACAATGTACAATGTACCACCAAACATCTGTATAATATATCAATCTGAGCTTTTCTGTGAGATATACCGGTTCTAAAACCATTTCTTTCACTTCGTCTTCCAGTTGTAAAACGAAAGTATTTCAAATTTTCAAGGCCAAGTGGTTTTTGGCCGAACAAATTGTCAAGACATTGTAACAGAATTATTCTAATACATATATATATATATTTAACAATTAACAATTATACCATTCGCTCCGTCGCTCGGTGCCGTACGCACCTCGTCGGCTACAGCTCATATATGACTCGAGCTCATGGTATAATTGTTAAAAATATATATATATATATATATATATACATATATATATATATATATATATATATATATATATATATATATATATATATATAATATATATATATATATATATATATATATATATATATATATATATATATATATATATAT